ATAATTTGACTTTGGAAACATTTTGTTTGTGATACTCTTCTATTTTTCTTATGCCAAAACAAACAGATTTTTAAGGCAAATCAACATGATTGAAAGGTAAGTTTCAGGATAAATATGAACTTATAGAACAAAACTTTCAGATATGAATGGGCCTTACATTTGATGGGTATATATGGTACTATTTGAACCTACATCTTTGTTGAAGGTAGGCAATCTTAGCCTTCATGCTGCACAAATTTCAAATGTTCTGTATAAACACAGAAAGCATGTAATTCACCTTACTTTTGAATCACTTTTGATTCATATTGGTTAGTGGTTTCTATTATTTTTTTAATGTTCATAGAGGATATAGAAGGCTTCAATGTGGTTTAAACAGCTATAAGGTAGCTGATCCATGGATATACAAAAAAGCAAGGAGTTTTATATAAAAAATAAGCTGCACAAATACTGGAAGAGTCTACATTTAATAAGGAATGGCCCAATTCAAGTAATATTTTATTTAAAAACATAACTTGACTATCTTTCGATGGTGTATTTATTTTTGGAAAACTTATCAGGGAGGTGTGGAAAACTTCATATATGATGAGATTTTTCACATCACATCTTTCATTTATACATTTGATTATCTTGGGTTTCAGACTGAGTAGTTACCTGAACGAGCAATTAAGTACTTAGCACAACCAGGTATTCAACAAAATGAACTAAGTATGCAGAGTACATGGCACAAACCAAGTACTCAGTGTTAAATACTTAGAACTTAGGTGTTAAGTATTAAGTACTGACTTGAGTCAGACAACTTCATTGTTGCAAATAGTTGGCTGAACTTGTTGAGCAACCAAAGTGGCATGCATAAATGGGCTACTACCAGCTGTATGTTCAAATACCTACATCAAAACAACTAGAGCTAAAACAGTTTCAAGGATTTTGATTCATTACATTTCTCCCATATGTTTTCTCAGCAGCTATATTAGTAATTATGGCAATTGCATAGAGCAGATATGACTAGCATCATCTGTCATTGTTCAGCAGCTTTAACACTGTACTGTCATTGAATAAGCACATTATTTAACAGTGGCACTTGTCACCTATTCTCTAAGAAATTTAAAATTTGATATAGCAGCCAGCATCAGTATAAGTTTGCTCAGCAGAGTAATCAGTACAAGGCATCATGAAGAAAATTTTAATACTATTTAACCATTTACCTGCTAAATGCACTGAACCTCTTGGTACACTTCCATCAGGCTTTTCTCCCTCACAAAGATAATAATGCAGCAAGCCTGCATTTGCATCCACCAAAAAGTATCTATACTGCCAGCCTTTCATGACATTTGTATACTTATACAGCTGTCCACTGAACTGTCGCTGCTTAGTGTGCAGCTCCATTACTGACTGAAAAAAAATAGTCAGCTTTAGATTTCTATGCAAGAAAATAGTAAACAATATTAACTGCTAAAGCATTATATCTGTATATTGAAGTTGCAACCAAGTGAGTACAGTATGTTACACTTAAAAATATGTAATGTTCTACTGCAACTCTGTGGTCTATCATGGATCACAGTTATTTATAGTACTTTCAATAGCATCTTCCTTCTGGGAAATTATTAGCTTGATGGGAGAGGGATCCCTCCAAGTCTCTACTTTAAGTATTTGCATATTACTAAGAATTTGAATACAAATATTGTTCGGAGAAATCCTAGACGTGTGTGCCTGCTTCTATGCGTGTGCAGGTTCTGATGTTAATCAAGTCATAATTTTTCTATGTGGATGGTTAACAAAATGTAAAATAACCTCAACAAGCTTGTTATGTGTCATGAACTTTCAGTCTACTTGTGGCCTATCTATCACACGCTGTAATACATGCGGTACCACGTCCAATATTCAGAAAGACTAAACACTAGTTTAAACTATGCTAAAATTGAATTTACAAATTAATATCTATTTCTAAAATGATTTCTTTTACTGGCTATTATAATTCAACTTCCATGCTTTTGATCAGTCACAGTCAGCTGTCAGCAGATTTGACATCCCTGTCAGTCAGCGTCAGTTGTCAGCTAAAGACCATTAATGGACATTACAAAAATTGATTCACTGGCAAGTGATTCATAATAGTCCAGTACGTAGAGACTGAAATCATTGATTTAACGTTATATTCCAGGAAAGACGTATCTGCGTCAAAGCGGGATAACGTACCGCACGGGTAACATGTAAAAAACCTATAAAACGTAAAAAAACCTATAAGATGACAACTTGCAGACTAGGCAGTTTTTCATTCCACGTTTGCTCACTAGGATCGTTGTGAACGTCCATCTATGGAGGAATCACTCGACTAAGCTACACGCAGTATTGTTTGCATAGTTTTGTGAGGCTGAGTGATCCGTGTCTGTAGTTTTTATCTCTGAGAAGAATGTTGGTTGAATAGCAAGATCGCATCTGGATGATAATGTGTATTGGTCTGCATGTGTATAAAATCAGTGATATTTGCTGTGTGAGAAAATCATTACTGAATATGACGGGTTATTTATATGTTGTGCTTTCTGAAGAGAGGTTATGTTCAGAGTTATAAATTACGAAAAACTGAAGAGAATTACGGGATAAGAAAAAGTGGATGCGCAACTAATTTCTAGCTTTGAATCTCAATTAAGTTTAATTGAGACAAGAACGCAATGTAATTATCATCAACACATGCAACTTACAGCTTAGACTTCCTGTAATGCCATCTCAGATGCAGATTTCACATCACATCAGACCATCAGAGCCAAATATTGATAACAAGCCCCATAACGGTTAGGAAACACGTACAACTAAGTGCTAAGTTAACATCTTGTAGAAAAAGCCACATACTTTCAAAAAAAAAACAGTGTAATGTCAAAAAAATCGGCATAATGTCACTTTTCAAGATACGTGATACCCGTGCCGAAGCGCCGCCAACCACTTATGCTTATTATGGTCATTATATACTTATGGCTGTGCTTATAGTCTACCGTGTTCAGGTGACAGAGTTGCCAAAGAAGTAACGTAAACGCGAAAAATGCTTTTTGAATGTTATATCACATGTATGTCAGGAAAAATTATGACACTTATTTCTGTCGGAGTGCCTGTCGATCTGTCTGTCCGCTAATCTCTAGCGCACCTATTAATGATTCCGACGAGGGCAGAGTCTGGTGCACAGACGACTCGGTTCCTGAAAGAGCTCTGGCGCCGGGGACTTTTGGCTCAACACTGGTCCTAGGAGAGGAATAACAACCTTTTTCGATAGCGAGGCTGCGATGAAAGGCACTAAGGGACGTATCGTCTGTCGTTCCTACAATTGTAGGACCTCTTTATGACCTCCTTGATTTTCATAGTTTTCTAGTTTTCCGTGTCAGCGCTCTATTTTGAGGTCGCAAATATCTATTTGCATCAAACTGTTCATGCTTTTGTTTTACATGATGTCTGCCGACGCTCACACGGAACAGGTGCCAGCTAGATATTTTTGAAGCAGAGAAAAGACTATGACAATTAAGCAGGACATAAAGGTGTCCTACAATCTACAATTGTAGGAACGACTGACGTTCGGCCCTAAGTGCCTGCAAAATTACTTCGAGCCTTGTATTGCAATGTAGGGAGGCTCTGTGGATAATCTAGCAGCAAGGCATCCGGTATCGTTAGTGTGGGTACCGTAGCACACTGGAATAAATGGCAATGATATGGCAGACGGTCTTTCAAAAGTAGAATCAGGGAGCAAGCTTGTTGGTCGTGAGCAGGTCGTGAGCCAACCCCAGGGGTGCGCGCGCAAAGTGTTCAGGAGGAAAATGGAGAAGTGGATTGCTAGTGAACACTCTCAGAATTTGAGAAGCATCTCTAGACATCTCTGGCAGGCACGGGAGCTCATGATAGGGTCTAGTGTTAAGGATGGACGCTTTTGCTTATCTTTGGATAGAGCCAACCTCAGGTAGTTGCTGCTCATAACACGATGAGGTACCACCTATATGTGGTGTGGGTGGCTGAGAATCCCATGCGTGAGCGCCGCGGGGTAGAGGAAGAGTGATCTACGCTTGTTCTGCGTTCCTTTCTTACAACTGCAAAATAAGAGATCGGATGCAATTGTGTTTTGCAGACAAAAACAATGACACCGTTTTCCAAGTGCAAGAGCTTAATTGCAAAGATCTTGCTGAATATAAAACGGTTTAAAAAAATAATTGTATCAACGCTGGATACTAATCTCTGGTATAATTTCATCCTACATGCTTCAACAAAATGATTACATTGGTATTCTGTATACCTAATATCATCATATACCTTATGTAATACATTCCCAACATAGGCACCAGTATAGAATACAAAATTAATATACTCTACAGTATATATCTATACTTATCTCAAAACGTACATCAAATTTGCGCTTTTCACCTCTCAGAATGTTTTTCAGTTCGAAAAGACTTAACGAGCATATCACTAAATGCTATTATTGGTGTGTGTACTAAAATACCCATTCTCTTTAATTGGGAGTTAGATGGGCGGGCCTGACGCCTGCATGAGCAGTGAACTCTCTGAAGGTCGTCCATATAAAAGTTCCCTATAAGTTCGAGTCAATTTTAGATACAAACTCTATCCAGTACTAAAATCTTTAACATTGTCTCTTATGCACAAAATGTTCCTGGAATGCAGTTATTCAACCGAATTGACATGAATAGCATTAACCAATGAAAGGTAGACGGCTGACCTCTTGTTCATGGATTTCTTAACGAAATGACCCGAACATTACAAGATTGGATCCTAGCCGAGTTTTAAGAATCGTCTACTAGACATGCTAAAAGAGTCAACGGCGTCCGAAAATAGATTTCTTTCCCATCCCCATCCACGACTTGATTGGTTCAAGCGGTATTGCCATCTCTTAGCCGGAATTGTATATGCATACCACCATTCGTGTACATACCTACGCGTCAATTTCCTGTTCAGTGGTTAAGTCTTATTCAGTAGATGGCGGGGCATACAAATATTTCACTGGCGACACTGGCGACAGGCATGAGGCTGGCAACCCTGGCGGAACGAAGTCATTTTCATTTCACAAATCGTAAAATAGGTTATTAGCTTTTTTTACTGAGATAAACAGTTAATTTTAAAATATTTCAGTTTTTTTGCTGCGGTTTGGTTACCGGTCTATTAGTTCCCGTCGTCGAGACTTTTCGCAGTGAAACCAAAGTGCCCAACCAATTCAGCCTTACTTATCTGCATTTTAAATGACAGCTGTATGACTAATAGGCGGTACCTCCGATGAAGACAGACACCCAGGGACTCCGTTCTGGCAGAATGCTGTTGAGATAACGCAAGACGAAGATGTCGAAAAACAACCTGAATGGTTCTAGAAGCGTCTCCTCAAACAGTTTTAACAGTTTCATGTCAGATGGGGAGATTATCGAGGCAGGGCTCGAGGACCTCAGCCTCACCAACAACAAAAACCACAACAGGCCCTCCTCTACCTCCAAAACGCAGAAAGCTAAAAGGATCAGATTTTACCACAATGGCAATAAGTTCTTTAACGGAATTGTGATACCAGTGGCCCCAGAGAGGTACAGGTCTTTTGATAGCCTCACTGCAGAGTTAACAAACATCATGACAAAAAATGTAACCCTTCCTAGTGGAGTAAGAAACGTATATTCAATGGATGGCAAAAAGGTGAGTTTAATTTTAGTAAAGGAGGGCGTGATTTTGCTAGTATTGATTTATTTGTGACAACAGGAAATTGGTAACTGTTTGTATCATAAGGTAAAGATAATACCCTCATAAAGTTAGAAGATAAGGCCATATTATTGCATTTTATTGCTGTTATAGGTTACAGACACACTAACATTTTTTGTTTGATTTTGTTCTAAAATAGTAGATGGCCTACTTATCTACTATTTTTTTGCCTCTTTTGTAGACTAATATTCTTGATAGTGTGGTGAAACATTTTTCCTTTCCAATCACTGAAATCATTTCACAACTAATCAAAATTTTAATGATATAAGTTAGATTTAAGTGCAAACCTTAATGAAGCATAGTGATTGATCTGGCATGCATAAGTATTATATCAAAAATATACATCAATTATACAAGTTTTGAGGACGAATGTATGGGGAAGAGTATTATGTATGAAATATATCTAATAGGTGTCTATTAGGGTTGTAAATGTATAAATACATCCATCTAATTTTTCATCCCTGCAAAAATTTCTCTGAAAGTAATCAGGATTCTCTGAAATGTCAAAAACAAAGGCCGCAATTTTTTATTTTATTCTTTTTCTCTGCAACCACTGGACTAATTATTGCATACTAACTGTCCAGATAATATTAAGTAAGATCTATACAAGAAATACAATGCAATTTCTGAAGCAATTCCATCAGATCTTTTTAATTAGGTTTTTATAAGAATTGTACAATATAACCTAATTGTATGGAAAGTAAAACTTCTTTGAAATAGGGCAGAGTCAAGAATTGGCTTCAACTAATTTTGATTATTGTTGAGCAATCTTCGATTAACCTTAATATCACCTCCTGATACAAGTTCCCTCAAATAGGTATAATGGTTCTTGTGTGGGTACCACTATATCTATTTCACATGTATCCATCAGGCTTTGATGTCTACTGAGGTGAACAGCTGATCAGCAAGTGAGATTTTTGTGTTATTCTGTAACATTGGTAATAATGACTCAGGTGTAAATCAAGTAAAACTTGTTTGTAGCGTTTTGTACTTCATATGAACTTTTCTAAATGAAAGAGCTTTTAGCAAGTTCAAAATGAATCTGTAGCATACAAAAAAAAACAAAACAAAAAATGGCTCTGTCTACCTGGCAATGCCAGATCCATCAGTATTATGTGTTCTGTGTCGATATGGGGAATTTTGAGATATTACTAGATAATCAACTGTCATTATACCGTAATGGATACTTGTGAAATAGGGTATATACTCATTTGACACTATACTAATTTGACAAATCTAAGTAAGGAATATAAATAGAGCAGAGACAATAGCATCAAACTTTCAAGTATAACAGTTTTCTGTTCCTAAAGAACAAGATGATTCTATTGAAATAAAGAAACTTCAATTGGCATTGTTATGTGACTGATACATTTATCTGCTTAAAGTATAAAATAATCTATGGTTTTTGAGTGTTTCACTAAGGGAATATGTTTATGGATCATGAATAGAACAAGGGTGTCTCTAAGGCGGTGCATGTTTCCGTCAACAAAGCATACCTGAACTATTTTTAGGATTGATCCGGAGACAGTGCCTTTTGAAATAGCATTATCATTTAGAAGACTATTTACTTCATTTAACTGAGATAAATTATAGTGATATGTTAGTTGCTTATCATTGGCATATGTGTGTATCTAACAAAATTCTGTGCATGAGTGCAGATCAATTGTATTTTTGAAAAACAGCAGAGCTCCCAGAACTGACCCTTGAGGAACCACAGATGAAATTACTCTAGGAGATGAGAAACCTCCAGCTGTCTTAACTGCCTATTTTCTGTTATGCAAATAGGGTTAGAAAAACTGTAGAGGAGTATTTGAAATCCCAATATAACTCAGCTTGCTCAACATTATTTTATAGATGATTGAATGCTTTTGGAAAATGATTCATCACTAAGTAGTAATTATATGTCTATCTGAGTACCTAATAATGTTGTCAGTCAAACAGAGTGAAGCTGAAGTAGTGCTTTATCTTGCACGAAATTCAGATTGAGGAGTAGGAAATAAATTATTTTGCTTCAGATATTCTATCAGTTGTATTTATACCACTCTGTCTAAGACCTTCAATAACAAAATGCAAGAAATCCAACTATAGTAGCTGAAAAGAATGAAGATTTAATTGTGCTGTCAAGAGAAATCTAGTGATACCTATGTCAAAATCCACCAAGTTATTTAAGATGTAAATTGATAAATAAGAATTTCAAGGCTGAACTTATGTATCAAAACGGGTCATTTTGTTTTTATTAAATTTCAATATAAGTGGTATCCCTTGCACTGCTAAAATTAATACAGTGACTCCTCATATGTGAGATATATCAAGTCATTTGATCTGTATCCTGTGAAATACAATTTTTCGGTTACACACATACCCACGCTTGAAAAACATTTTATGTTTTCATTTCATTTTACTGTTATTTTGTCCCCAGCTTGAAGTTTTGTTGACAATTCTTATTATGTTTTTTTTCTTAATATCAACAGAAAAATTTCGAATTTGATAACCCTCCTGAGGCAGGCTGGTAAAAACAACATATTAACAGGTCGCAAATGATTGAGGTCAGTCGGATTTTTCATTTTGGCAAAAGGAATTATCGCTTCCTATTAAGCACCATGGAGAGTTCGAGTCTCAAGACACATGTTGATTGCATGTGTAAATATTTCAGAATTTCAGGCTAGCAGTATTAACATGTCAAGATTACAAAAGTTGGCATACATAGTTTATTCAACATCAAATTGATGCAGATCCTTCACTTTGAATACTGTTATTTTGTAAAACATGTACATATTTAATCTTGATGACTGTATCTGAAGAAATGTGATTAAGGAGTTCCTAGATTCATTAGTTCACAATCATGATATATGATAGAAATGTATGGTAATTGTTCAGATAATTGTATGTTATGTCACTACAGATATAGTTCTGCCATTATAACAAATGGGTTTTTGTTTGTTAGAGTGTTGCATAAATATTATGTGACAGCAACCATAATATGAATTATCAATATTCCTGAAATCATTAATGATTGAAATGTTCTTAAATTCTTTTCATGGTATTCTCAATCTTTTGTCATACTTTATCCTTGTCAGACTATTATATCAATACATGCGCTCGTGAAAAAAGGACTGAGGTGCTTTTGCAAGATTCTTATAACAACTGCAGACATGTTGAATGCCAATCGTCTATTCTTCTTCCTTGTAGATGGATTTTGTAATTTTCACGGTTTATTTTTAGTCAGAAGGTGACTTAAGAAAATCACACCAAATATTTAACTTGGCCCATCATCTTTTTAAATTTGTGTAGTAGAATTCTATTAATAGATTAATTAGGTGAGATGTCTGGTTAATTTTAGATGTCATATTGATCTCTAGGAACGACTGGAACTCAGAGGGGGAATAGAGTAAGATGAAAACATACACAGTGAACACGCCTTGTTAAACAATCTAGTTTGAAAATAAAGTGTATAGATTAAACATTGGGAAAACTGTTTTTCTATTTTGAATCAATCCACAATGTTATTATTCATTTATGGCGCAGATACGAAAAAGGGTCTATATGCAGAGAGATAATGAAGCTACCATCTGTTGGCCATTTTCTATACTTATTATACTCTGTGTTCTGACCATATTACAAGAAAGCTAGGCACTTATTTCATACATCCCTAGGCAATGTAATATATTTTTCACAATAATTCATCACGTTTTGACATCTATTGGAGTGAACAGCTGATCAGCAAGTAACATTTTTGTACAAAAGCGGATAGTGTTGGTAATAATGATTTTGGTGAAATTCAGGGCCGTATTTAGAACAATTTGCACCACACAGTGATATTTGTTTACATACATAACATACTTTCACTAGGACTTGTTACAGTGAAATATATAAAGTTCACATAGTAAAATTCTAGAAGATTATTATAGTGCATATATGGGTCTTGTTGATAACAATGTGAGGCAACAGAATAGATCTCAACCAAATACGACTCTGTTTTCAGATTTGGCGTTCACGGATCCGTCAGTTGTCTCTCACTTGTCGATATGTATATCTTAAATGCCACTAGATAACTAGCTGATATTTGTCACATTTTGACGTGGTGAAGTATCGTGCAAAATAGATCCCATTGAAGTTGAGGACCAACCATTAACTTCGTCATATTTTTCGGCAGCTGGTTAGTTGTAATATGATGTAGGATGTGTGTAACTAACTATTGAGTAGCTGTTAATAGAAGCAAGCAATGCAATTATTGAGTACGTTTTTCGTATATGACCCATCTTGGATGAAACGATTCAATTGATGAAAAGACTGCAGTGTTTAGGAGCACCTTGTAAGTCTAAATTAGAAAACAGCAATTTCTCACTAGGTTTCAGTTTTGCGTTGGTTTTGCACGACAGTGAAAAAAGATCGTGCAATCTCTGATCGAAATAATAAACGCGAAGAAAGTTGGTAAAGTAGATCCGAATGAAATCAAAAGCAGTGTCGCGCTCATTTTCAGTTTCACCGGGCGTATAGCTGACTTCAAGCTGGTATCTGAATTAAAAGAATCGTGCATTAATGATTTCCTTAAAAACTAATTGATTTTGACTTTAGAATCTTAGGTTAGTTCGCGTTTCATCTGAAGCGTAGCATGATTATATTTATTTTCTTTTATTGGAAAATATGAGTGAAAGTGTTTTAGCGGCACAGGCAAAATTGTTTTATTGTTAATCATTTTCATATACTGAAGCATCTTCGGAAGGTTAGTGAATATCAGAGTATGAATAATTTGCGGAGATCTGATCTTTGAATTATCTGTAAGGTAGTAGAATTGGGGGCGGTTTCGTCTGTCAGATTGTTCCACTTCATGAGCCCTAGGAACAATGCAGCTGACACACGGTATAGATGTCGGAGCATAAGTTACAGTGAGAAGCAACAGTTTGGCGGACATAATGACGGAAAGCTCACATTAGCAA